GAGAACAATTACCTCCTTATGATTGATTTAAATTTGTTTCAAGTATTTTGTAATAATATTTAATCAGCAATTTAGATAATTTGGTTTTTGCCGGTTTTTACCAGTTTTTGCCGGTTTTTACCAGGTTTTTGCCACTGTCCTGGCAAAAACCCCTTTTTGCCGGCAAAAACTCCAACCCTGCTCTCAATTATTTTGACAAGAATAAAAACAAGTAATATTTTTAAATCAATTCCTACTTAGGTCAATAAAGAAAAATTTTATTTTAGTTTAAATAATTACAATTTTTTCTCCCATATAAAACTAAAATTAAATTTAATGAATGGACAAAAACTGTATTACCATCAAGAGTCATCCACTACAAGTTCAAAAGTATTGCAACTTGAGTAGATGAAGTACATATTTTATGAACGATTGATTGAACAAGATATGAAGGAAGAGTGTGAACTAATAGTAGGAATTGAGAAAAAAATAGTCTCATAACTACAAAAAAAAATCTTTTATGTAAGATTATCAGAATTTTATTCGTACTAAAATATAAAATTCAAAAAAAGTTATTTAAAAAACTTTTTGTTTTACTCAGATTCAAAACTTTATCAATTACTTTGTTCTTGTATATTTAAAAAAAATTCAGTGATGAGTTTCTCTTAAATCTAAATAACTGCTAATAGTAAGAATTGAACAACAACAAAAAAAGTGTGTATACTTACAGCAGTTTTCCTTCAGCAGGACCTGCTTTGAGCACATCAGATATAGTGATTGCTGGATCTCCAGAAGAAAAATTAGGGTTATCTTTCCCACCACTCACAGCTACACCAAAACCGTAACCGGGTACCTAGGATTAATTAAACACTTATTTTAGTACACAACTCAGACAGGATGAACTCCATGAGAAAGACAAAAAACTTTATAGTTACAAATAAATATTTTAAATACAAATTTGGGATGGGTTGACCTATCCAGGGATGATTGTGGCTCAAAAATCCTGAATATTTCTTGAGCAAAATCATTCAAAAAATTAATATCTTTATAAATTTAAATCCTTGAAATTTTCAAAACATGATATTCTAAATGAATTATATGCAGCATAATTAAAATAAATAATTATGTGTAAGTTTATTTTTATCTCTTCTAATCGCATTACCAAAAAAAATTTTTTACAAATGAAAGAGATGCCAAGCATAAATTCTTGTTCTAATATTTTTAAATAAAATATACAAGACATTTTATAGATAAAAGTGATTGATGATTTCTTGAAACTTCTGGACTTTGGATTTCCGGAAGCTTTCGGATCGCGGTTAGCGAAAAATTCGAAAATCCGGATTTTTCCAGAGCTCAATCACCCCTGTATATCTGTGGGGTTAGCTAAAATCAAACTAGGGACTTTTGTGTCCATAGTTTACCCACCACAGAGAGAGAAAAAATTTCAGCTAATCTTTCACAGCACCCCCCAAAAAGATGGATAAACCTACTATTTGGAAAGTTTCAACTCAATAAAAGAATATTTGAACCCTGACTCTAATTGTGAAAATTTGAAAAAAAAATCACGGTTTTTTACAACAACAAAAATCTTGCATTTTTTGCAATAAAATTTGAATTTCAGAAACAAAAACATTTTATAGATTCATCTTTTATTAAAACCTGATTAAAAAAAAAAGACTGAAAGATTAAAGTATTTTTTTGATAATCCTCCCAGCAATCTGTTTAAAGACTGTAAAATTAATTATTTTGTTATCAGTAAATATTATCAGAATTTGACCAAAAGAAGCAAATGAAATCAGATTCAAATGAATTATCTGTTTCATAAATGAACACACGAATTTAGTAATATGAAGAATGATGTAAATTCCCATTTTTATTACAAAAAATAATTGTTGACCCCTAAAAAAAATAAACATAAATTCCAAATGAGAGTCTAGTAATTTCCATAGATAAAACTTTTAAGAATAGTTTAAATAATGTTAGTTCTCATTTTGCCAAATATCTTCTTTTTGTGTAATATCTTAAAGAATAATGTCAATAAAAAAAGTAAAATTTTAAAGAAAGGATTAAAATGGAATTAAAAAGTTTTATCTTGATTGTTTTAAGATATTCGCATCTGAATATTTCTTTTTAAAAAAAAACGAAAATTGAAAAGAATAAAATGATATTACACCACTTTTATTCATCATTTTACATTACATTCATCTAATTTCAAGCCATTGAAGAATTTTAAATGTCTGTGGGCAAATATTGCAGAATAAACTGAAATAATATAATGCTATAAAATCTCTAAATTCAGTTATTTTATAATTTAATTTTTCTAAATTAAACACAATGATAACAATGCTGATATGATACAGACTTTGTGGGAAAAAAAACCTTCTAGCTTTTCCTAAGATTGATAAATTCTTTGCTTTGTACAAAAGATATCTCTTTTTAAATCAAACTTCAAACATAATTTAAAGACAGACTTTGGTGCTTGGCGACAGGGTCTAAACATTATTTTTTTTTTAGCTCTCGGAATAATAGTTTAGACAGAATAATAGTATATACTAAGAATAAAAATATAGATCACACCTTTTTAAAGGGTTCTATTAAAGAAACTCCTTTTTCTTACAACCACCCTAGTCATATACTCCCTCCCGACCAAGGTGATGTTAGCAGCAACATAGTCACAGAACGTTACAGAGTTCTTGCAGAAAGATTTTTCTTTGGGAAGTAAAAAATTTTGCTTTTCTTTTCTGCAGAAATTTTTGAAAGATTTTTTCTTTTCTTAGGAATTATATCGGAATAAAAGGTATCCAAGAGATACCTCTCAGGCGCATCGGACTGGAAAATTATTTTTCTTCTTTTCTCATTTGAAAATAAGGAAAAATGAAGTAAAAAATTTGGTTTTCTTTTCTGTAGAATTTTTTGTATGCAGTTATTACTATTAATTTCCACATAACTTTTAAAATTCAATATTTTTAATACGATATGAATTATTACAACTGAATCTTGAAGGAAAACAAGCATTTAGTAACTAATTTTTTAAGAGTCCGATTCCCGTGACTTTGTCGTCTATTTTTTTTTTCAGCAGTCACTGCTATGGATTTCACTATTTCTTATTATGTGATGATGATTTACAAAATGCAAAAAGAAAATAATTAGTGTGTTACCCCCGACAAAATACGAGAATATCGTCGATAATATTAGAATTTTTAAAAAATTTCATATTCAATTAAAAAAATTACTTAACTTAATCCAAATTTTTTTTATTTCTTTATTTTATTTATTTTTTTATTTATTTATTTATTTTTATTTTTTTTTGAAGTTGATGCTTCTGTTACTTAAAAATTAGTAACATGTATATTTGTTATTTTTAAAATTATCTTGCAGAAAGATATTAGTATTCGAGAGGAATGTCGCAGAAAGCCTGAAAGAAATTCTGCCAGGGGGGCAAACGCAGCACAAGAACTGATCTGAAATCAGACACTGATTACACATGAATTATACTCTGCACAGAAAAGTTGCACCTCCGTATTTTAGTTAATATGAAATTTCTAATAATTAAAAGTATAACTAATAAAGTGAAAAACATAAACATTTTAAGTTTCACTATGTTAAATAAAGTCCATAAGTTGGACTCATTTAAAAAATTTATAATTTCAACATTTGATTGTAGTACAAACAATCAGGATTCAAATAAACGTTATAAAAAAAAGTCACTTACCCTTGCTAAAATGATTGTATGATATTCCCATATACCACGTTCTCTCCACTGCTATAAAAAATTAAAAACTTTTTAAATAAAAATTTTATAATCCAGCTACTGAGTTTTGATCACATTATTATAACTTATTTTCACATTTTCATAGGACATCACACATGATTATTAATAAACAAAAAGGCAGATATCTGGGAGGGTCATCAATGTAAAATTAAAAGAGTTATAACAGTATTAAACTATAAATCATTTTCTTTTTTTAAAACAGTATTTAACAATAATGTGTTTATCATGCTTTCTAAACATTACTCCTGGTTACTATTACAAATAAATAAATTAGATTTACTTTTTAATAAGTTTCAATTTACTTTTACCACATATTTTATGTAAAACTGTATAAGCCACCATATGCAATAATGTTAATAAATGCAAATTAACTATTTCAAATTGAAAGGCAATGCTAAGAATTAACTTTTGGCATAACAGCTATAATCTTTTTTAAAAAAATTTAATGCTTCTTCTTTTCTTTAGTAACAGAAAATCTAAAAGGTAAGCCTAAAAGGTAAATTAGTTNTCAATTTACTTTTACCACATATTTTTTGTAAAACTGTATAAGCCACCATATGCAATAATGTTAATAAATGCAAATTAACTATTTCAAATTGAAAGGCAATGTTAAGAATTAACTTTTGGCATAACAGCTATAATCTTTTTTAAAAAAATTTAATGTTTTTTCTTTTCTTTAGTAACAGAAAATCTAAAAGGTAAGCCTAAAAGGTAAATTAGTTTTCAAAAAAAAAAAAAAAAAATAGATGATTGTGTTATACAGGGGACATAATACTTAATCTGCTATAATTTATGAGGTTTCTATTATTTTTCTTTTTTTTTTTTTGTGAAAGTACTTAAACTGTAGAAATTATAAATCGTTTCTCAAGTCTATAAAAATTTTAAATTTTCATAAAAAATATTTTTAGAATTGCTTCACTACTGGAAGTAATCTGATTTTTTTTTTAAAAAAAACTAGAAATGTTTCATCTTTATGAATAAAAATGATGGACATTTTCTTATAACTATCTTAAGATATCACTTTCATTTTCGTTAGTAACCAAAATATTAATTTGTCTTACAAATGAATACTTTGAACTTAAATACTTGAGCTTTGAATACTTTTAATGAACTTAAATACTTGAACTTTGAATACTTTTAATGAATACTTGACATAAAAACTACATTCATAAAAGATTAACCATAAATTTGATTTGTTTGTCTTGAATTTTCTCACACTCAGACATTGAAATTTACACTATAAAACAGTGTATTCTACACAGATTGAACAAATTTATTTTAACAACTTTTTGTTATTTAATACTTTAATGTTTTTGTATGGCATTAATTTTTAGTAAAATTAAGATAGATTTGGAGAAAATATGTTTAAATGTGATATTTTAAGTAGTTTTTGCACAGAATGTTGCAAAAAGCAAATACAGAATGATCTGAAAAACCAAGGACATGCAATGTTTATATTTTTATTAAGCAAAATAAAATAATTCCAGATGCCGAAACATCAATATTAAAAGTTAATTATGCTTTGAAATTAAACAATTTATTTACATTTATATATAGAGAAATTTCTTAAATACTTGTCCAAACAGTGCCCATTACAAAAAAAATTTATCATATTTTTTAAACCAATATCTGAAGTCAGATGTTTAAGTTATATTGTTTCGAATTTGCACTATAATTAACAGAAACATTCTTTAAATGCGAACTCATCGAATGTTGTAGTCTTTACAGAGCAAAACTATGTAAAATGCTATAAATTCAATGGTTTATTTTTAGTTTAGATTATTTAATCATCCTTTTCTTTATATATATAACTAAAAATACTATGCAAAAATACTAAACATACAAAAAAAAAATTTATTTTCTCTACATAAGCAATTTTTCTTATTTTTTATTTAAACACCATTTAATAGGTCAAAGAAAAGGTAATAATTAATTAAACTTAAAATGTTGATACAAAACAATGACTTGTATCTCAATACAAAACAATCAATCTCAGCAAAAATATTCTTAACTCAACGCTTTTTTTTTTTCGACTCAACACTTTATTAGTAGTAAATATTCTTGTATGACTTTTCTTTCTGTCAGGAAGAAAGAATTGAAAAATTTTTGAATCATTAGGCCTATTTTAAATACAAAAGATAAAATGTATTGAATATTTCTTTAATAATTATTTATTTTAACTCAATTTAAGCTAACATTGATACTTTTCCATCTCTTCACCTCCGTTAGTGAAACAAAAATATTTACTAAACAAAAAGGAATCATTATCAATACTTAATTTTTTAATCGTAAAAGAAAATATTTACATTTTCTCGACATAACCAGAATAGTTTCATTTTATTTTGGGTGAATACTCCTGTAAGATAGTGCTTATGCGCATCGTATTTTTTGTAAAATAATTTATTAGTTATATGTCAGTTAGTAGATGACAAGGAATAGAGTTTTGTGGTTGCCATGGTGATAGTTTTGGAATGTAAATAGTTTTTGTTTTTTGAGTGAGTGTAAGACATTTACTGTGATTTTGTTGTGAGTTAATAAATCGTAGATAAATAAATAGTAGAGTTTTCTTAATTATTTGATTCGAAGGCCTTTGCCTTTTAATTGAGATCATTTTTAATTTTGTACTTTTTGACAACTCTCTTAAAATAAAATAAAAATACACATAAAAATTTTTTTGAAACATTCTCTTCAAAGTTATCTCTCAGCTAGTATTATAAAATAGAACTAACTTATTTTCAGCCTGAAAAAACAAAAAATTTCAATATGTAGCATTCTTGTATTCCATAATTCTTAATTAAATTCTGAATGCTTGCACAATTCGAAACGAAAATCAAATATATACCAACAAAGCGGTAAAATTAAAGAGTTATCAATATATAGACAGCTCTTAAAAGAACCTTTTTCTAATTAAATCAAAATATCTTAGGATTAAAATGATGCAGAGAAAATTAGCTTCAATGCAACAATTGAAACGATTTGTTTACATATATTTAACTAGTGACTATGAAAAGACGATCGGTTAGCTCAACACAATTCCACGATTTCATTGGATGAGAGTAGGAAAGCATAGAGAAAAAAAAGAGTGCGAAATCTATTGTTACTAAATTATGACCGTATAATTTTTGGATAACTTTTCAAAATTAAAAATAGTAAAATATCATTTTGTCAAATGTAAAAAAAAATGACAACGCATGCTTTTACTACTAGAGTGTGGATAGTCATAAGAAGATGGGAAAACATTAGTTTCTGTCTTAAAATATTTCAAGCTGGGAGGCTCTGCGCCACCTGTAGCACATTTCGATCGCCAATTATAACATAAAATTAAACTAAAAAAATGTAACAAAAATCCGAATCTTCCGATTTTTTTTTTAATCAATTATTTTAAAACCCAAATTTTTATTCATAAAAAATGAGTTGCGACACAAAAATCAGGGTTGCCAGAAGAAAAAGTTAGACAAATATCTTTCATCAGGAGAAGTGCTGCGTGTGTAAAGAAAGGGAAATTCATCAGGCACTGGCGTGACTAATCGATGTGTGTGCCACCAATAAGACAAGCTTATTAAAATAATGAAAGGGGTTCATATACCCAATCAAGGACAAACCGCAGACAATCCAAATTAAAGAGGCATAGAGCTATGTTCTACCAAGCAGAACGGGGTCAAACTTTCTCATTCTTCAGACAAAAAACGTATAATAGTTGCACTTTACATTAGTACTTGATACTTTTTTTATTTCGGCAGATCGACGCCAAATTATTAGACGCACTATAAGATTATTCTATGTAAAATCTTAATTACCAGATGATACAGAAGAGGTTCCCAAATCGGGTTCCGATAGAGTTTTTTTTAATCAGTGATGATTTTCAAAACTTGTGATTAAATTTATATTCGATTAATAGCCGATTATTTATTTAATATTTCCGTTATTTTTATGAAATTATTTAATCGTAATGCTTGTAAAGTAAGAAATTTCAAAGCAATTTTTTATTAATAACAAATACATTTACGAAAAATTCCTTTAGTATTTCCGAGTCGAATAAAAATAACCAAATACAACAATGTTTGTTTCTCTAACAAACGTTTTCTTTCTTTTCGTTTTTATTTTAATATAATAAACCACATTTCATCGAATGCATTTTCTGTTAATTCATAGATTTGAAATCTAAATAAAAACTCGATTAAATTCTGCTTCAAACCTGAGAATTCAACTGTCTGACATAAAAACCAATTTTAAGACTCATGTTGATAAAGGATAAAAAAAAATTTATTCATTCATCAAATATATTCAAAACAATTAGTAAATATAAGATCATTACGCATTTTCTAAATAATAAATAGTATTTGGTTAATTGTTGATGAAGTCTCGGGGTTCCACGACCATTTAGGGTTCCGCAACCGAAAAAAACAAGTGGGAACTGTTATTGTTTTTACGAAACATTGTTCGTGTATCAATTGGTTAAATTAGATGATGTGTAATATAAATTCCCGGCTTGCACCGACCACAGTGCTAAATATCAATATCCTCAGTGGTAGAAGGGGTTAGTTGCCATCAAGTTAGCCGTGGGAGGTTCTCGTGGACTTCCTCTCCATGTAACGTTCCATCAAAAAGTCCTCCACGAAGGCAAATTTCCCGTAATAATTGATCCATTTGTCTTCTGGATTGAGTTCAAAATGACAAGGCTACGGAGTTGAACAGAAAATTGGGTCAGCTGTTCAACGACGGTTATAAAATAAAACACTGTGTAGAGACGGAAATTTTTAATTATTCATTTTATTTTAATTTACACAGATTAATTTACATATTTTAATATTAATTATATATTTTAACATTAATTAATACTTGCAATGGAAAGACGGAATTTAGAAAAAGTATTAAATTAAAACATTGTATACACTTACCGTTTAACAACATGAAATTTATCGTGATAAACAATACGAGAAAATAACTCACTATCTTATAAGAAAATATCACTATTACATTCAAAGTTTAGT